AATAGGATGGTCCCATGGGGAATTCCAGGTGGTGCTGTGTCATTGCTTCATGGAGTCCAGGAAGAGAAGTTTGAGATAGGATACCAGACCTCAAGAGACCCGAGGTTCTGAAGAAACCTGGCCAATTCTCTTTAGGACCAGGAATACTCACTGATGCTGACAAGTGCAAACTCTCCTGCCCAATTCACTGATGGGGTTCATCTAAGTCCCGTGGCTTCCCTCTGATGAGGGCTCTGTTTATGTTGCTGACAAAGGTGTTCGCAATGAAATGTAAATGTTATTATGCTATCTTCAGTTTCATTTGTATCACCTACGCCACATTTTCCAACTACTGATCATCACTCTTTGCTTCCATCTTTTGATCCTAATTACAAGTCATTATCAATACATATTAGTTTCTTGCTTGGTCAATTTCAGACTGAAGAATTTAATGGAAATCTTCAATTCCTTCATCATTGGCTTTAGTGGTTAGTGTGTAATTTGAAAAAGAGTTGCATTAAGTGGCCTCCCAAATAGGCGTTTTATGCTGTTACAGACAGCATTGGACTTAAAGATAGGTCTTGGAATTTTTTTTGAATTTTTTTTTTGATGGTGAATGTGATGTAAGTCCTACTCAATATGTCATTTCTAGCATGTGATTTTCAGATTCATTCAAAATGGCCAATACCAGTCCCTTTCCATCAACTAATGCTGAGAATAGTCATCTCGTGGCTTGCAGCCCAATGCATAACCACTATGCCACCAGGGCTTCCTGCGAGAATAGTCATCTTTATACATTCCATTTAACTTTTCTTCATGCATCCTACTTTCCAAATATTAACGGATGTATGTACCTGGTTCTTTTAATTTTACGTGAGCAAGTGAAGGTCTTGAAATCCCTGCTCCAGCCACATCAGTCAGGTAGACTGAAGAAGCAGCTCTTCCCCAGTCCTATATTGAGAGTCTTCCAACCTGAGGGACTCAAAATTCAGGCACTATGTCTACCAACATACCACTGTTATCCACAGGTTTTCAGAGACTAATCCCCCTGAAGTGAGCAGTGTATTCCTTCTTCTTACTCTGTTCTTAGAGGCTCTATTGGAACCTATTGACCATCGGTAACCCTGTTAGTATTTGAAATACTGGTGGCATAATTTCCAGCATCACAGCAGCACACAAGCCACCACAGTGCAACAAAGCAACAGAGGAGTGGTGAACTTGATGGCAGTGGGTGGGTATAAGTTTCCCTATGTCCAGTGTAGTGCATATGATCCAAGATCACAGCCAATTCTTTGCATGCCGGTATAACATCTGAACTTTTTACATAATGTAAGATGTATATGTATTGGAGGCACTTTTACCTCTCATTTCTAACATCCACTAACTTAATCAAAGATGGAAATAATACAGAAATACTACAGTATTTAAGTCTCTCTGATTTAAGTCATGTAACATTGGAAATTCTGAACACTGGAAAATCCTACACAGAAAAAAACCATGTCAGCAGGATGCTTGATGATAAAAAGCAAGAGAAAAGAGCTCCTTACACAGCATTGAGACAAGGCTGGGACAAATCAATGGACCTTCCACAGGAATGGAAGGACAACCTTGCTGGAAAAACAAGTTAAGGCCAGGGAAGAGGAGCGTCTCCGTTTGGGAGCGACACTGGTAGTTCTGTTGGTGGGTAAGGTGGAGTAATGGGGAGAGTAACCTCACATCAGGAAGGGAGGTTAAACAATGATCATAGGGCACTTAGGGGGGACAACTGACCAGATTCTATGTTCCTGGGTAGACACTATGAATTATCCTTCTACCCGACCTTTGGTGAACCATGCCATGGACTAAGCGCCATGATGACCTTGGACGCTGACCTTGCAGGCAGCATGGCATCCCCCAGGAGCTACACCAGAAGGACTCAACATAGAGGACCCACTGAATGAACTGAGCCCTGCCTCAAAGCTGCCTGAACCCTTGGACTAAGGACTGGGGTAGTTACATGGGAGAGGAAACAGAGTGGCCTCCCCAGGGCTATGGAATTGGTGGTCATTGGACCTTGGGGGAACCCCTGGCTTGGTCGGTATCCAATGGAAAGGGACCCAGAATCACCATATATGTAGTACCTTAATGCTCCCCTTGCAGTGATATGACGGTTTTGATCTTTTCAGCAGGGATCTGTACTTGGAAGAATTGATCCAGGAAGTTTCCCCCTGGCACCAATCCCCATGCTTAGAGTAAACAGAGCTCAATCAAATGGGAGATGGAACTGTGTCGGGTCACAACTCATGGGATGCAGCTCACAGTGGAACTGTCCTCCCATAGACTCCTCTTACGGACATTGTCACAAGTGCTGTGTCATTGGGAAAATTGTTGATGTTATCAGTGCCTTATGCCCCAGGGGGATGATTGACAATGTTTACTTTTTGGGTTTTTCTTTTCTTTCTTTTTTGTTTTGTTTGTTTGCTGGTTGGTTTGTTGCTGGTGATGGTGTAGTTGGTATTGCAGGGTTTTTATTTTGTCATAATATGAACACCATAGTAAACCTGAGTCATGCATGCAGATGTATTCTAAGCTCCCACTTAACTCTAGCCCCAATCCAAGAACAGTTAGTACTGATAACATGGCCCTGCTCAATACTCACCTTCATCAAATGATCACTGAAGATAAAGATGCTACAGCAAAGTGTGGTAAAGAAAGCAGATGGTGCATGCCCAGCTATCAATTAGAATGGTGTCTGTGGGTGAAGGGAGACATC